TTGATTCATTTACTTTAAAAAAACCCCATTTTTGTCATTCTTTTTTGGGATTTTTATTAAGATAATATGTCATAAGACAAAAATTTAGTAAAATGACTAAAAAAGTGTTAGATTTTAAATTTTAGGAATAAAAAAAATTACGTAGAGAGATTGAAAGGGATTTTTTACCAAAATAAAGTGATCAAAGTAAAATTTTAATCTATACAATTTATATTACACAAAACTAATCCTCAATATATGAGTGAAAAGGAAACAGATACATTTTTATTCTTTAAAAGTTTTTTTCTTCTTCCTTGAAGAAAACGGATATTTTGCGGGGTACTTTTTTTTTTTTTTTTTTTTTTTTTTCTTCTTCCTTGAAGAAAACGGATATTTTGCGGGGTACCTTTTTTTTTTTTTTCTTGGTATAATTTTGCACTATCCATAATAAAACAGAAAATTTCCAAAACTTTAGGGGTCAATACCTAAAATCTGAATACCTTCAGAAAGTGGATCGGCCCGTCACGGAGGGTGGTGGGACGGTGTGGGGCGATAGCCTTATCTTACTACATTACAGTTCACCGGACTCAAGCTAAAAGTGGGAACAAACGAAGCAATTAAAGATGTTAAGCCTCTCGATTCTTTCTCCGACAACAGTTACTTTCCCCACAAAACCCACTTTTCCAATCTCCAAACCATCCTTCAATGGAGTTAAAATCCAGCATTTCAGTCCCGTACCAATTGCTGTTCAAACGTCTTCGTCTCGAGGATCATCAGTGGTGATGATGGCGAAGAGAGAAGAAGAAATGAAGGAAATAAGAGAAAAAACTACCGAGGAAATAAATGAAGAGGTCGTTGAATTAAAGGGAGAGCTTTTCATGCTTCGCCTTCAGAGGTCGGCTCGGAATGAGTTCAAATCCAGCGAGTTTCGCCGCATGCGCAAAAGGGTACTCTCTCTTCTTTACACAATCTGTTATTTTCTTTTGTTTTTCTATTTTGGATGAAATTCTAGTTTCAATCAATGTTTATTACTGGGAAAATTCTAGGGTACCGTCTCATTTTTTGTGTTAAGTTTCTGCAAAAAGTTCTACGCTTTTGAAACTACCTTGATACCAACTTTACTGCATCACAACCTTATGAAGTTAATTTTGATATTGTGAAATTGTATCATAATGTTCGTGGAGTAGCTTGCCTGTTTGTCAAACAGTATATTATGACAGTAAAAAGCCCAAATTTTTGCCTCTGCTAAGTGCTGGTCATAGTTTGTATTGGCTAAGAAACAAATGTGGGCTAGTTGAGACTTGGCAATTATGTTTTTGAGGTGGCTTAACCATTTGGAGTGTGTTAGAAAACGATGTTGTTTGAGGTGGGCTAATAGTACATACGATTTTAAAGGTATGAGAAGGATTGATGTGAATCATTCATTATTCAAAGTACCATAAACATGTACCTCTTAGGGAATAATACACTTTGTAAATGATTCAGTGGGGTTATCTTAATTGCATAGTATGCATACATTTTAAACCAATGGAGACAAGTAACATGTAAGATAGTTAAGTTAGCAGCGATTGTTTGTCACCTCTTTCAGCAATGATATCTGAAACTGAGTTTTTTTCCTTTTCTGAACTATACATTGATTATCTCACTTTATTTTCTCTACATCTGTTCCTCTTTAGCTGTAGTGCCACTTCCATTAACTTATTATGATGGTATTTGTGCTTCTGTTTACATTTTCCCAAGAATAGAGTAACAGACCTGGGATTGGAAGGGATAAGGTGGAGATGTGAGCACAGTTAACTACATCAAATCCAAATCATGTGGATAAATAGAATCTGACCATTCTGAACCTTATAATGTCTTTCAGCATCTAGCTTTTATGTTGTACTTCTTAGAAGAGAGGATTTGTACCCAGTTTACCTTAATAGAAAATCTAGTACTCCAAATGAAGAGCATGTTAACTTTTCCTATATCTTAACAATACCTCAATTGTTGTTGTATTTGGTTGACTGGTTTTCTAGATATCTATGCATTTCAGAGATTTAGAGTTGTATTCTCTCTTAGAAATTAGAAAAGGTATCATAAATCACTTCAATCAAACAACATATAAAGGAAAATTCCAAGTGGCTCATGATATCTCATGGTTTGCCAATAAAAAGGGGCCCTCTAGTTGTGATTTTTGTTTCCTCTAACGGTGATAATTTGTGTTCTCTTATATCTTTAGGGTCACCTTTTTTATGTTTCTTGTCGTAGAGATCATGAGATAGGCAAGACGCAACATGCTCAAGATGCCAGTTAGAAAGGGTCTTATTATAATATAAGGTCAAATTTCTGTGGTGCTAGGTGCTCCTTCTCCAGGACTTTCTTTTATCCAATAAACTAGTGTTGCCCTGTTGAGCCACTGTTGAGCTTCTCCAGTCAAGAATTCCCCCATCTTATTTTCTCTTTGTTTAAAATCCCATGGTTAACACTTGGTCGGATATTAGCCCAATTCTATTTCTCATTTTATAGATAATTGTTGGTTTTCTTTATTATTTAGTTGGTACTTTGATTTTTATGGAATTCATTATACATATGACATATGAGATTCTGAACTATGGCTCACGAACTGTGTTTTTATCTCCTAGTTTAAATATCATTGTCAGGTGAGATTTCACTATGCATGTAAGCATTGATTTCAGCATAATTATAATGTGGAAGTAATTCTCTCCATAATAGATTGCTCGGATGCTTACCGTGAAGCGAGAAAGAGAGATTGAGGAGGGAATTAACAAGCGATTGTCAAGAAAACTTGATTGGAAATGGAAGAAGAGCGTTGTAGTCAGGCCCTCTCCATCCTTGAAGAAGTTGCAAGAGGAAGAGGCAGCTGCAGAAGCCGAAAAATCTTCATGAGCCAATCCAGATGCTTTTATGACATGATGTTGTATTTTAGAGGGGAGGCTGTTTTAGCTTAAGTTTAAACTTTGAAGTACCCACTTTCTGTTTTTGTTTCAGAACATTATGATATGTAATTATGTATCATATGGTGCTATTGTAGGGTTTATTCTTTAATCATGATTTGCTATTTGCTGGCTATGCCGATTACCAATTTTAATTGTTTTAAATCACCTTTTCATATCAATTTGAAGAGAATTGCACAAATCACTACAATAAAGATATTACCCTTGCCCAACTAGCTTTCTGGGATCTAATGGTTTGTATTCAAATCTTAATATTTAAGTAGAGGTAATTGAAAGTTTGAGTTTTATCGATTACTTGAATATTTATACTTAACTTATAAGTTATTGATGTTTTTTCAACCCATGGGTTGACCCACAATAAACATCCCGAGTTTGGATGGATTTGCTGTGGGGCATTGGTGCTGCTGGCATCTGCCTCATATAGATCAAACATTAATTTTATGATGGTCTTTATTTGCTGGACCATATCTGACTTCAAAATAAGATTTTGTTAAATGGGAGAAAGCCTTTAATATTACTATTAAGTAGTTTCAAACTTACACCTTAGTTAACCTAAAAGGATCCAATTACTAAATTGTTCGATTAGTCTTTGGCCTCTATTCCCAAATTAGACGAACGAATTGCACATCAATATTGTTGCAGCTCTTCACTAGAATTTTTCCTAATTTTGCCCCGCGCTTTAAGTTTTGCTGTTCAAATTATATAATAATTTCTTTGAAAATATATTTACACAGAGGCGGGAAATTATTTGTGATATAGCTTTTGCCCTTTCTGTAGACAAAGCCGACGTCGTTTTGGACTGTCAGATATTGACAACAGTCTTTCTTCTAGTTCCAAGAATCGTCGCAGGACAGCCGTTCGAATTGCAGCCACCGCACGCAGAAGAACCATGGAAGATGGTAACGGAGGGCAAAATCTTCCAACCAAAACCCTAGATTCAGATCTAGACCCTAATTTGCAGAAAAAGCACCAATCAATGCTCGATCGTCTCTCCGCTCGCCACCAAACTCGCCTGGACAGCTCACTCACTCGCCTGGACAGCTCACTCACTCGCCGATCCGACTTATCGAACTCGTCCGAGTCTACCTCCTCTTTCCTCTCCCGCTTCTCCGACTCCAAACGATCCATCGAGTCTCAACTCGCTGAGTCACGGCAAATCGCCAGCTCCGATCCGGCTCGCCTCAAATCGCATCTCGACGATATCTCCTCTTCCATCTCCGAACTCGAAAAGCTCGTTGCTGAAAACTCCTATTTCCTCCCTTCCTACGAAGTCCGCTCCTCCCTCAAAACCATCTCCGATCTGAGGCAAAATGTCGAGAGTTTAACCGCGGAGTTAGTTCCGAAGAAGAAATTCACCTTCAAAAACAAAGCCACCGCCAAGAAAGAGCCGCCAAAGGAGCTGGAAATCGAAAAGTCCAATTCTGTTTCCACCAAAACTTCCAACAATTTCGTGATCCGAGACTCGCCTGGATTTAGAAATAAAGCGAATGAAATCTTTGAAAAGAAATTCAGAGGAAGCGATATTGGAGAATTCACGTTATCAGATCTTGATTCTTGCGAAGTCAGATTGAGCGGTTGCTTTGATGCGCTTTTTATTAACAGATTGAAGAACTGCAGGATTTATTCAGGCCCCGTGACTGGGTCCGTTCTGATTGAGGATGTGGAAGATTGCATATTTGTTTTGGCTTCACATCAGATACGAATACATCTGGCAAAGAGGAGTGATTTTTATCTGAGGGTGAGAAGCAGGCCAATAATTGAGGATAGCAATGGCGTGAGGTTTGCGCCTTACTGTTTGGAGTACCAGGGGATTGAGGATGAATTGGAGGCGGCAGGGTTGGGTGAGGAGACTGGGAATTGGGCAAATGTGGATGATTTTAAGTGGCTAAGAGCAGTACAGTCACCTAATTGGTGTTTGTTGCTGGAGAATGAGAGGGTTGAGAAGGTTTATGTTGCAAATTTGGAGACTGGAAATGAAGGCAGTTAGGGTATC